GCCGTGAGGTGAATCCATCATAGTGACAGGCGGCCTAGCTTTAAGGCCACCTGCCCGCTTTTTATACCTTCCTCCCACTCCACGAAATGGAGTGATCTTCCTCTCGTTGTCACCCGCTTGTTCTCCACAGAGCCGGTCTTCACCAGGCTCGCGTGCTTGCTTCCGTTCGTCTCTTCTCAGCTCGGCCCCCTCATCGAGGTAGTGCTTCTTAAACGTGCTCCCCAGAGTTGAGCATCCTCCTTCCCGTGTCTCCTGTCAGTGTGTCCCTTGACTCGCTAGCACCTTGCTCATGAGCGGTTGGGGTTGGGGCAGCTGTAGCTGCCCGTTAAGAAAAGGAGTTGGGGAGCCACACAGTTATCTTGAGGAGCTGCTCATACAAGTAATCAGGACACAGAAATTTATTCAGCAATGGATAAATCTGTATTAGTGTGCTGCTCCGACAAATCCTTAATCAGTGTTTAGGAAAAGTTAATTGTATAACTCTTTGGCCTACAGCCTTCTTAAATTATGCAGTAAATTATGCAGTACTTCTATAATTACCTTTCAGGCAATCTCTCAGCATTGTAGAATACAAGATAAAGTCATGATCTTCGAAATTTTAATGTGTGCATAATTTTATTCTTGTAAGGAGCTTCACTGTGATTGCACTTACACATGTACTTCATACATACAAACTTCATATGAGACCAGATACTTCCCGAAATTGGGATCTCAAATACAAGACACCAGTCAGAATCAATTACAAACACAGACAGAATGTGGCGGTCATGGTTTACAGCCTAAGTAAAAGCAGTCCAGTATGTATTATGAAGACCTCTGGAGGGGAAGCATAGGAAATTTTTTTCATGATATCCCGCTTTATCACTTTCCTTACTGGACCGAGGGCTGTAGCCAAAGTATTTTAGTAAGCCGTACAAACGGAATATGCAATGTGAAAAGAGCTCGTTTAGGACATCAGAAGTGAGCAGTGTGAAAAACAGTAAGCCTTCTTTTTTTGTCTTAATACATGCAAAAGGGCCTATGTTCTGTTTCTTTTCAGTTCCCGAACAAGTTCTCTCCTTTCAGTGTTTATTTTCAGTTCCTTTTTTCCTGGATGTCAACTTAATGATTTTTCACAGCATATTTTACTGCTGCACGTTGTATGCAAACATTCATGTGGAATATACATACATATTCGGTATTTAGGATGGGACAGAGCGCTGAATGTAAAGGCAGAAGACTGTAAGGACCTTTCATTCCAAGAGGGAGAATGTATTTTCAAGCATATGTCTTTTAAACATATTCTCTTGTTTTTTTTCTTTTCCCTCAAAGATTCTCATACTTAAGCATAAGTGCTCTTGAGTGCGTACTCAGTTAAAGAAAACAACGTATTCTATTTAAAATGGCAGACTGTTTCAGAGAATTCTAAAGTGTAAGAGGTAGATTCTCTGCTTGGTGTTAAAAGGTTGTGCTTAGGAAAAAAAATAAAGAAAAGGGCCTATCTGAAACTGGGCTCTGTGGTCTATATTCGTATATAGTTGTGCTTTCTTGTAACATCTGGAAAATCTGTTTTCTGACAAGAGAGAAACATCTGCAAAACCTAGTCTTGAGTGACAAAGAATTCCAAATAACAATTAGAGTTGTTAACATTACCTGCCATTGGCTTTAGTGAGAGCAAGTTTAGGTCCTCTTACTGATTTTTTTTAATGATGGATGGGATGCTTTGCATGAATCCATTTTTTTCCATTTAAAATTTGTCTCCTCAGTACCGAGAAACACAAAATGTTTAAGTGATAAGAAAATATCCCCCCAACCTGATAAAACAATAATATCTAATTCATAGTACCTTTTCTTTCAGTATATCTTATGGAAGGGTATAACAGTGGAAAATAGCCATATTTTTACATATAGGAAAAGTGGGAAACAATTTTGGGCTATTGTTGAAAATTACATGTACAAATCAAGTAATCAGAACATATCTCATCTTCTCCTCTTCACAGAAGACTGTTGTTGTTGTGGCTGAATTATCTAGCAAATAGATTCTGATGTTTTCAAGTTGTATTTCCGTTGATCTTGCCGTTTGATTTGATATTGTGTTGTAACAGTTTGTTTATATTTAGGTTCTGATCTTAGAATGACGTCTGTATGGGTAGCCCACCTTTTTTCCAAAATCTCTTTGAAGTTTTAGATTTGAATTAAGCAACAAATGTCCTACAGAATGTGGTTTACTGTCACTATGTATAATTGTAGCACCTGAAAAAGTTCTCAGACTCCAGAAAAATAAGCGAAGGAAAATAATTTTTGTGATACTATATGTATGCCTACGTAAAAAAGAAAAAAAAAGGTAGGTGGCATCTGAAAGGCTTGGATGTAGTACTTAGAAATGTCTTAGGTGGCTAGTGGAGCAAAGGCTTGGTATAGACATTCAGACAGAATTTTGTGAGGGAATGAGGACTGGCAAAGTTCAGGCCAGCTGTGCAACAGAAGAGTCTGAGAGCAAGAAGTAAGGGAGTAGTGGAATGGAACAGAGAGAAATTTTTTCTAGTTTTGCATCATTTTCTTTTAAGAATTCTGTCTGAGTTACCTCTGCCTCCCTGAACTTTAAACAACTTTGAATTACAATTAAAAAGATCATTAAGTTAAGACTACTGGGAATTTGCAAACTTGAGGTTCTACATTTGTCTTTTTTCTTTTTTCTTTTTTCTTTACATACATACCTGTAATGGAAATCTGATATTATCTATTAATAACATTAGCTATTATGGCCCACTGTTTTATAAGAAAATATGTTTCTAAAATGTTCACATCTGAAGGTAAGTTCTATTGAACTTCTATGACCCTAATGCTTGTTTGCAGGTGAGTGTTTCAGCAGGGGGATGGTCCAACTTTATTATTTTTTCAGCTATTAACAGGGGCAAGCTGGTCTACTTCTGGACAGAATTGTACAAATACAACTAGAAAGTAGCTGAGCAACAGTCTCTAATCCTTCCTGCCTTCTGTAATCATAGTTCCATGATTTGCATAAACTGTCAGAGGGGATTCCACCCTTTATAGGTCTCAATGTCTAATCCCTGTCCTGCCTTTTATTAAGAAAAGCCTGAATATCGCAAAGAAGATGAGCTTGTTTGGTATAGAACTAATTTGTTTTGGTGAATTAGTTACTGGCTGTACCAAATCTTGATCTCATGCATTGCACAGCCATGCGAATACTTATGGCAGTGCAAAGAATGGCTTGAAATAGCGAGCTGGAAGAGGAGGTAAGGCTGTGACCTCTTTTGGTCACAGCTCCACCTTGTGTCAGCTTACATTGATTGTGAAATTATTGATGATGGCTGAGGAGAAAAGCAGTACAAAACCACTAGCCTACTCAGCAGGTAGCTACCAGTAATAATCTCTGAATTCTTCCTGTTTCACGACAACACAAGGTGTTCCCATTAAGTTCCAATTTATGAAACATGCTAGTTTTCCACAAGAAATATTTAATTTGACTCTGCTAATGCACGCTGTTAGTATTTCTAGTTTTATTTTAGTAATCTGTTAGTTAATGTTACTATGTTTAAAAAAATGTATACCAATAACGTATTTGATGTGCAGCATAAAAACGATGATATTGTTGCTTGATGTGCGTGTCTCAGGCAGTGAGTTTTAACTTCAACGCTGTCATTTTTAACTAGAATATATGGTCATGGTACTGAATATTTTACTTTGAGACACTGATATTTCCATTGGTTTTAGTATAATGAGGTAGAGCCCAAAAGTCATTACTAGAACTTCCTGGAAGTGAGCAGGATTGCCTGTGTGGAGCAACCTGTAGGATCAAGACCTTATTTTTATATTTTTCTGGAAAGCAGATTACTGAATGCTCTGCTTTAGAATTAATATCTTCTAATAGTCGCCCCTGAAACATTTACGGACCCCCAAATTAATAGTGATGAACTGACAAAAAGATATTCAGCCAAGAATCTAGTTTAAACTGTCAAAAGAGAGAAATGTTCTAAACAGTTTTCTTATCATTCAGTAGATGGCAGCTGATCTTCAAGAATGGCTGTATTTCTCCTTGCAGATCTATCAATTTCAGGGGAGTAGTCATCAGTTCTTGGAGAAATCAAATATAATACAGCATTGTCTTCACTCCTTTTTGAGAGATGGTTTCTAAAATCAAACTGAACAACCAACACAGTGAGTGTTCAGATCATTTTCAGCTTCATTACCATTTCTGTTCTTTTGTGTTGGGTTTGTTGCTGTATATTGCTGGAGAAGAATATTCCTTTATTCTTTGCTTTCATACTTGGTAGGCCAGGTTTACTTCTTTTTAAGGAGAACATACAATTCTATAAGAAAATTCCAAAGAGGAGGAATAGCATTGCTATTTTTCATTTGGATGTAGCTGTTGATTTTAGGTAGAATAAAATATTGTTCATCATTCTGAATTTGTTATAATTCACAAATTAAAATAACCATGTCTTCTTATGATAATTCTCTCCATCCAAAGTAAACAAGATAAGTAGCTGATTATTTTATAAGCTTTATAGCTTATTTATGGCCAAGAAGGCCAATGGTATCCTGGGGTGCATTAGGCAGAGTGTTGCCAGCAGGTCGAGGGAGGTGATCCTGCCCCTCTACTCAGCCTTGGTGAGGCCACACCTGGAGTACTGTGTCCAGTTCTGAGCTCCCCAGCGCAAGAGAGACATGGAGCTCCTGGAGCGAGTCCAACGAACGGCTACTAAAATGATTAAGGGACTGGAGCATCTCTCCTATGAGGAAAGGCTAAGAGAGCTGGGCCTG